AGCAGCATTCCTCCATGGCCTGTGTTCCAGCTCCTGCCTCCAGGTTCCTGCCCTGAGTTTCTACCTTGGGCTCCCAGATGAACTGTGACCCAGGATATGTAAGCTAAATAAACCCTTTCCTCCCCAAGTTGGTAGTGGTCAGAGTATTTTGTCACAAGAATGAAGAAACAAACTAGAACAAGAACTAAGGCTGCACCTTCACAAATGTCCTGTCCTGTTCTTTGTCCATGGCCCTTCATGTCTTCTGAGGCAACAGCACACGGAGGATTCTTACACATTACCACATTCTGTTCCCAGCTTGAGCTGTATCCCCCACCCCCGCCCAGAACCGCAGCCTCTGTATACTGACCCTGAGGAAATACTTCCCACAAGATTTCACCTCAATGATACTGGTCTCTTCTTGGTCACAGCTTATTTTTCAGCCCCAGGTGAGAAGCATACATTATCCCAGTAAGGCAAAGCATTCACCTCAGTGGTTCTGGTCCCTTGTTAACCACAGCTGATTCTTCTGCACCAACTGACCAGAAACCCCAGATTCTCAATTTGAAATGTCATACAAATAGTCCTGATTGTCTTTGATTCCCTTGAAACAGCAGAGGCCTCTATCATCCCCATTCCCTCAGCACTATTTTCCAAGTTCCCACAGAACAGCCTGCTAGGCTCTGAGCACTCAACAAGTTTTCCAGCCCAAACACTTACATAAACTTCAAAATGAAATAAACAAACAAAAAGAAAACTGGTCAGGTCCACCAGGGCAATATCCCATTGCCTGGCACCAAATTTTGTTCTAGCATTGTTTCTCTTCCTATGATAAAACACTATGACCGACCAACTTGGGGGACAGGAGGAGGTTTTATTTCAGCTTACAAATTACAATCCATCCTTCAGTTAAACCAAGGCAGCAGCTCAGGGCAAGGACCAGGATGCAGGAATTGAAGTACAGCGGATGGAGGAACATTGTTTACTGGCTCGCTCCTCTAGCCTGTGCTCATCCTGCTTTCTTATACAATCCAGGACCACCTGTCTTGGAATGGAATCTCCCACATCACTTACACACCAAGAAAATGCCTCAACAGACATGGCTCCTGGGCAATTGATAGAGACAATACCTTAACTGAGGTTCCCTTTTCCTGGGTGTGTCCAGTTGACAATGGAAGTTATCCAGTAAGTTATCCCTGGGACTTAAATTAAACACCTATTGACAAAAAAAGAAAGATTAAAAAAGAAAAAAAAGATGGAAAACAAAGAATCAAGTTTAGAGTCAGTTAAAAGGAACAGGTTTTGTGAGCAAAGAATATTCATAAGGGTTGCCAGTTGCAAGTTTTAAATGCATGTTCTCCAGTCTCTTTGGGTTAGGCCAGTGTGGAGGTCAGCCGCATTCCAGAGGAGCCAGCATGTGACAGGAAGGAGGGCTTCAGAGAAAGAGGGAAGGCCAAAGTGCTAGGGACAACATGCTTAGAACAGACATAGAAAGAAAAAAAGTTAGTGCTTGTCAAAGTGACTCAAAAAATGGGCCAGATATATGGAGCTCCATGGGTAAAGTCCTCAAAGATACAGTGGTATGGAGCAGGAATTCTGAGACGGTAAAGTACACTGTTTCATTAAAGAGATAATTATTCCTCCAACTCTTTGGCAATTTGGAGGTGGAACTGCCTCCCAGAGGGGTGATCTTTGGCCAGGAAATGGACATGCCCAACTAGGAAGTTAGTTCTCTACCCAGGCCAGAGATTCCATTTTCTTGATCTGAAGGACAAAGGCCTTTACTGCCCTCTGAAGAGAGGTGACCTTAAAACTATTTAGAAGGTAAGCTGAGTCTGTGAAATAGATATAACCCATTTTTACTATGAAGATACAGAGAACCAGTTTGAAGGCTGTTCACCAGAAGGGGTCACTGTCTAGACTGTAGTGTCAGGCCCCACCTCCACTTACAGCCTCCAGACAGGGGGCTCATTCAGGAGGAAGTAAGAAACCTCAGCTCCCTTCTGACAGTCCTGATCAAGCAACCAAGGACGTTTTTGGAACTTTTGCTTTGGATCCCATGTCTCACTCACCAGTTTGTACTTCCTGTTTCCATCATTTGTCCCTCTGAAGAGAAAACCCTAACTACCATTTAGGGAATTGGTCTATCCTCTCTCTCTCCTCTCCCTCTCTCTCTCTGTTGATGCACTCCTCTGAAACAAAGAGAGCAAACCTATGTGCTCTATTTGCCTCTTCCTTTCCACATTTCCTGGTTGCTTAATATTTTCCCAGTCTTAGGAGCTCCATATATGTTGCTGATTGGAGAGTTCAGGCAGCTGGAAATTCCTGTTGGAAACAGCACCACTTCCCTTTGCTTGCAATGGTAGAAACTTTGCATTGTCTTCTTGAAGAAATCATTTGGGTCTTCCATTCCAGTGGGGACACTTATTTACATTCATGGCATTTTTGTAATTAACCCAATAATGACCAGACTTAAATGAGATACAGCAACAAAGTCTAAATACTGTGCCCCAATCATTACCAATACCTGGAGAATGAATTTCTTCTTCATTGATGAAAGTGGATGTACACCATGATAGAATAATGAATTCTATGTCCTTCATGCACTGAAGGAGTGGAGGGGGGAGGGGCAGAATAGAAAAAAAAAGCCAAAATAATGGAAGCCATTTCTAATGGTATTTTTTTCTTCTTCTCCAGAGATGTACTTCATGTAACTGCCTTCAGAAGTTGTTATTGGCAATCTCTGGCTGCCAATAAAGAAATCACAGGTGTTAGAGATGTAGGGTTCTATGGGTCCCCAATCATGTTTCCCTCATTACATTCTCCAGCTCCACATTGTACGAACTTATTTCCTTTTTTTCCTTTTTTTTTTTTTTTTTTTTTAAATAGTTTATGTATCCTTGTAGCCCCAACTGGCCTGGAACTCACTATGTAGACCAGGCTGGCCTTGAACTCACAGAGATCTGCCTGCCTCTGCCTGTGCCTCCCGACTGCTGGGATTAAAGGCATGAGCCCCCATGCCCAGCTATGAATTTATTTTCTAAAGAGGCTGTTCTTCAATATTTGAGTGACGAAAACACCGGATGATTCCTTAAAAAATAAATAAATAAAATGAAACAGCTGCAGTCAACTCCCTCTCAGGGAAAGAGAATCTCTTCCAGGGTCCTGCAATAAATTTTCAAGTGAGAAATGCACCCTTTCCTCTCAATTTAAGAGATGTCGGAAGGATAAAACTCATTGTTAGCCACACTTAGATATTTCTTTGTGCTCCTCACCTCACAAATCCCCATATGTGGTGAAAGATACTTTAAGTTCAAACCCCTATAAATTATGTAAGATATTTGAACAGAAGGAGGAATGTAGCTGAGCTTTTAAATAGAAGACTGACAGCTGTTTTCTCAGCCTGGCTGGAAGTTTGAAAAGTAAGAATTATGGCGGAGCATAAGGTGTAGGTTGTATAACCTGGTGACTTCTTGTTGTCTGCCATTAGCAAGTCAATATGCTGTGGCTTAACCTCCTGTTTGTATCCTGGACAATTTTTCTTTGACCTTCTACTCAAAGGATTTCTCAAATGACCTTTGCACCTCTTAGACCCAGGACCTCTTACAAATCTTCATGCTTTCTGGCCTCTCTTGGAAATATACAAACACAATACCACTTCGAATTTTTTCCACTTGTCTTCTGATAGCTCCTGTTTCTCGGTTCCTGACCCTCCTTAGGTTGTCCTTTCCTGATGTCCCAACTCTGTTATTGTTTTGCTTCAGATCCAAAAAAACAAAACAAAAACAAAACAGTATCCTTAAAGACATATGTAGCATTGACAAATTTGTAGATGACTCAGGACATCGGTTGTGTGACAAAGGAAGCTAACTCTGCAGTTTTGAATGTGTCTCCCCTAAGCTTTAGGTATTTTAACACTTCCCCCAGTTAGTGGTGCTTTTTGGAGGGTTAAGGGCAGCAGCCTTGCAGAACGAAGACAGTCACTGTGGGTGGCTTGGACCCATGTCATGTGTCTGTCTCTCTTCTTTCTGTGGGCTTGGAGATCCGAGATCGCCACTTTCTGATCCACCTGCCTCTGTATTCATCCCCTATCTGTCACTTTGGCTCTTTCCAACTGACTTTCAACATAAGCCAAGTCAGCTCTTCTTTCAATAAGTTGCCTTGATCATGGTGTTTTATCACAGCAACATAAAAGTAATTAACATACTGATTTTGACCTTTTGGACTCTTTCTCTTTAACAAATAAACTTTTCCTTCAGTAAGTTGCCCTAGCCACGGTATTATATCATAGCACCAGAAAAGTAACTAGCAAACTGATGTGACCTACCAGGACAGCTCCTGAAAAACATATGAAAGGGTTGCAGAGACAGGCTTGTCTTTCTAAAACAACACTTCATGTTGAAAGCAGATGATTTACCAAGGACTGGGAAGCAGTCGCAACAAAACACTGACAAGTGTATTTTGCATCTTGCACACAGACTGAGGTTATAGCTTAGATCATGGAAGCTGAGGAAGGAGTATATAGGACTGAATGTTAGTAAAAAACTAATATACCTCAGTGATGCTCTGCAGATGACCCAAGGCTGAGGGAAATACGAGGATCCTCTCTGACTTCTGCTTGGAAAAAGAGATAGATGCTGTCTTTGTTTCTTCATTGCTGTGACAAAACACTCTGACCACTACTAACTTGGGGAGGAAAGGGTTTATATATCTTACATCTCCTGGGTCACAGTTCATCAGGGAGCCCAAGTAGGTACAACATAGGCCCACCTGCCCAGGGATGGCACCACCCACAGTGAGCTGGGCCCTCCCACATCACTCAAGAATCAAGAAGATGCCCCTCAGACATGGCCACAGGCCAGTCCAATGGAGGCAATTCCCCAATTGAGGCTCCCTCAACCCAGGTGTGTCAAGTTCACACTAAAGCATCCAGCACAGATGCCCATGGTCTTCACAGAGAAAGGAAATGGAAGGGGAATTTAGAAAGCAGAGGGAGATGTTACTGTTAAGCAACCAAGCAGACTCAGTCACATAGTTCACCACATAATATGCATTTCTGTGTTCCAGAATTTATATGAATATCACTTGACCATGTTCCTATGTATGTACATGTGCATGTATGTTTGTGGTTGAATACATCTGCATGCATGCAGAGCCTGTGTTTGCATCTTGCTTCTATGAAGCACCCTAGAATGAGCAAGGGAGTGTAACCTCCTCTCCAAGTTTATTTTTTAGTTCCTCAGAATAAATAACTCAAAGTGCAATTTTTAGGTGAAACAGTGGTTGTATTTTGTTCTAATTTGCTACCTGTGACTTAAAAAAATACCATCCTCTAAAACAACTTGGGTGGAGGTAGGGTTTATTTCAGCTTACAGGTTATAGTTCATCATGAAGGGAAAGCCAGGGCAGGAACTCAAGGCAGGAACCTGGTAGCTGGAGCTTGGTGGAGAAACAGTGGATGAACACTTCCTAGCTGTTTGCTAAGTACGGCACTCTCCACAGTGGGCTGGGCCATTGCAAATGAATGAACAATTAAGAAAAGGTCCCACAGATGTGCTCACAAGCCAGTCTGACGGAGGAAATTCCTCAGCTTGGACTTCCTCTTCTCAGATATGTCAAGCTGACAACCAAGATTTCCCATCACTTTTAAAGGAATAATTTCCCATCATTTTTAAAGGAATAATGTTTTCCCTTTTCGTCATAACATGCTTGCTACCAACCATATATACAGGATCCCTTTCTCCATATGCTGACACATACTTAGCTTTTGACTTTTTCTACTGTATGTGTGAACCAATGTTCCCAGAAAAATTTCAGATTGAAACTGTGCATTCTACAAAGACTGATCAAGTGATTAGAACGTCAGTGATTTTGTAGTTTGGAATGTTGCCAGATCTAAGCCTAATTACCTTTTATCTTGGGTCATCTTTAGCCCCTTAAATAGCCACTCCTTGCTCAACATTTTTTTCTGACTTAACATCCCATGAGTAACAGATAGAAACCTTTTGGATGTAGTAACTCAACTCAGCAGACCACCATGTCCCACCAATCAAAAAGCTAAGAATGTTATCTGATAGTAGTTGAGACCTATAGTAAAAATCCGCCCCCCAGCTTTTCAATGATCTTCTTCCTGTATGTATCCAGCAACTTATTTGAAATACCTCTTGATTTATGACTTGTCTTTGTTCTCTTACTATAAAAGGTCCATAAAAGTGC